AAAACCTTCTGATTCAGTCATCTTATATAAAGTCAATAAATACAAGCGACAAAGCTCTTTCCAGATTCATAAGAAATCTCTTTTGTCAGCAGAGTCGATTGTACGATTCCGACTATATCATCAGCAAGTGTTTATAAATCACCTTTCATGTTACCTGGTGTCGCGCAAAGGTGAGTATATCGTAGCCCACCGGTGGCAATAACATGCAAAACCAAGTCAACTGTTCGACTTATAGTAAGAAACCACACGGGGACATTGGTTGACGTTAAAGTAGGGAATTGCATAATGTTTGTCACTGATGCGTCAAATATTGGAATGTCCTTCATATTTCTGCAATAAAACTTCTTGATTTGTTGCCGAGGCCTTGTGTGCTTCAACCTTGATAAAGCAACTTTTGAGCAGGAGTCGATTTACGCTCTTTGAAATGTTTTGGTAGAAAGATTATGCTCGATTGAACCCCAAAGGTTGTGACACCAAAGGCAGAAACTCCTGGACTATTGCTCGACATAAAGGGAATGTCTTGTAGAGAGTCTTTTTTCACTCTGAATCTTATGCACACAATTAAATATGAAACAGAAGATGCGGCTCCTTTACTTCTAGTTCAGGTGGGTAAATCAGTGGAAGGTAATTGGACATGTGATAGTAATTGAACGATACCAGATCATTGACATACCTATCGCTTAAGTTAAACATGGCCCATCGTCTTGCCTAAATGTCTTACCCCCCAAATTCTACATAGATATATCAAGGAGGAAGTCTAGCATTTCACATAGTAATTTATCAGAAAAGCTAAATTTGCTTTCATTTTTTATAAGTTGTCTTGAACCTCTGAATATAGATATGTAACAGTTACTAAATCTATGGTCACAACGTAGCCCATGGATCTATGTATGATTTCTTTTCTTACGTTTCTCGTATGGGATGATGTTAAAGGTTGACAAATTAAATGCTATAACGTAATTGGTTCTTTTCTGAGATTGCTAAAAAAAAAAAGGAAATCCTTTGAGTTTTGGAAAGTCCACAGTCTATTAATTACCGCTTGCCCCAAGTACCTTCTTTAAAAAATTAAGAAAGTCGTCCCTTGATTGTATTAATAATTATGGTTACACTTTGAAAAAGGGATTTAGTGGTATATTTGCTCGTACCAGCAATATGTTTCTCTTTCTATGGATGTTTATGGAACTTTCGAATACAGTTCAAAATGGTAAATGACATGTCTTCGCACTTTAGAGTCAAGTCAAAACCTGATACTACTAATGCATCAGGTTTTAACAGACTTCTCCATCAGTTAACATTCTGGCCTTATATACACTTAGAAAATGTAGGGGATCATGAACAAAATGTTAATATCAAGTATCAGAGCAAAGATAAATGTTGACGATAAACATCCTGTGTAAGAATGTCTGCATCTGAAATGTAACACCAAAACACATTCTACAGTGTTCACGTGCTTCATCCAATAGCGCCAGACGTACGTAGGGTTTCATGGAAGGTCGATTAATCTCTGCGCGGCCGTTATTTCTTTCAATACGCTTATTGATTTTGCGTACCATACAGTTATGATAAGATTTCATTCATTTTTTGTGTGTGACCCAGTGATACGGCGTCTGCGCCGCGCCGAGTGTCTACGGGTTTTTGCCAAGCTGGAAACTACCAGAAGTCAGCCTGCAGTGGCCAATACGTTCAATGTGTCACAGTCTGTTATTTGCAGACTTTGTTACAGGTATAAAAAAATCCAAAATGTTGACGATCGACCCATTCGGGACGTCCATGGTCAACGACAAGAGGACAGGATTGTTTGATACCAAACCAGGCTCTACGGAATCGAGCTCAAGCGGCGAATCAAATTGCTACAGACGTCAATGGTGAACACAACATTGAATCTTGGGTAATCGTCGATGATCACCTGTCATGTTTTCGGATGAGTCCCGATTCACTTTGCATTTCTTTGATAGGCGTAATCGTTTCTGACGACGTCGAAATGAACGCCAAACCATTGTCACCTTGAGGCCTCATGACAGATTTGGCGCTGGATCGGTTATGGTGAGGAGTGAAATCACTATGAATGTGCGAACCCTACTCCATGTTGTGCAAGGACGGATCTCTTGACAGTGCCACCGGAACAGCATACTGACACCTTTTGTATACTAGTGTGTGGGTCGCCGTTGTATCTTTCAGGACGACAACATACGTGCTCACCATGCACGAAACGTCAATGCACACCTTCAGCGACACAGCATCCAAAGAATGCTACAGGCTTTCCCCCCAAATCTGGGGAGACCGATCATAGGCCGCCGACTACGTTGGCTGAACTTGGCCAGGCGCTGCAAGAGGAGTGCGCAGACTCCCTCAAATCGCCATTGCGAGACTCATGCGCAGTATGCAATGTCGAGGGAATGAATGTTTGAAATATCGTGGCCGTATTACGCACTAATAATCACAAAACGTCGTCTTTAAAATTTCTCATCTTAACCATATCGCCTTTTAGGATCATTGTCGGTCACAACATCTACTATCATACTCCACTACCGGCTGTAATGTCTTCCCAATGCGTTTATTGGTATCATACAGCTGTTACTTGAAATAATATCGGTGGGAATTTGAAGTTATTCCAAGTATCCCTATCATTTTAAAAAAAACAACTTTTTGGGGCTTAATTTGATATGTCACTTATACCAAGATATTTGATCCAACAAATGTTGTTGTGTTGTATAATGGTAGTACTGTTATTTTAGGCACGCCAGGGGGAACAACTACAAACTTGTCACACAGATAATGTGTGCTTTTTAATACAATAACACGTCATGAAAATAATGCGACATATAATCACTGACCAAGAATGTGACGTTGAACTGACGTGAATATTTTGTTTCTGTTTTCTTAAAAGGGGGTTGGGTAGTCCTGTGACCTAAGCGATCGTTCAATGAATACAATTACCTACCGATTAATATTCCGAAACTTTGTGCTGAATCGTTTGGCGTTGTTGTCGACACTGATAGCATAACTGAGAAGGTTCCGTTTGGGCAATTAATCCTTAAAAGGTTCGCTGATACTGCGCTTATCAAGATTTCGATGACAACGAATCTGCGAACTTGAAAGTTAGCACATAGACATAGAATTTTGTGAAATCGTTTTCGTTATTTGGATTTAATGTTTTTATCTGTATTTTCGCATGGCCGGCGAAGTGCAGGAAGGAACGACTACTAGTTATATACGGTGCATTGGTTATTGAGGAAGACCTGTAAAAAACGGCTTTTCATCTTTACAAGTTGAACATAAAACCGGATGCAATTAGGTTTGTTCGACCGCGCTTCATGAATATTTTACTCGAAGTATATTGTATATCCAGAAATGGCTATAAACTCTGGTCTTTCTTTGAAGTTTGAGAACCTTTGTCCTCAAAGTATTAGTGATGGCATCAGATAGGTTTGCATACGTCACTTTTAGAACATAAATTTGCTATGTTTTCCCCAACCGGGTTGAACATTTCAATTTGAAAATGATGTGTGGTTGTTGTACATCCGGCAACGGCGAACGTGAAAATATGACATGAAATTCTCCAGTAAAGCCGGTATTTACATAGCGTACATATTCATGTTTGTCAATGAAGCCCTCGTGGGGATTCCTGGTTAGAATAGGTCAGCAATAACCTAAGCTGGTCGTAAAACACTGGATCGGGTGGTGAGGCTCCCTAACTTAGTTGACTGTGTGCCATCGTACCCTGGCGGCGTTGATCGATGCTCACAAAACAAAAAAAGATTAATCAATGAAGATATAAACATAGTTTTTATAAGATTTAAAAAAAATAATACCAAAGCATTTAGGTTTATCAATAGCATACTATTTTCACTGATTATAAGAGAATAAATCTTCCATCTACCATCTTGACTCGATGCACTTATTATAAGAGAATGCGGGACGGAAATGTATGTTTGATGTTTGTACATGTGAGTGTTGTATTCTTTGGTAGTTTCTCTGTTTTAGGGAAACCCAGTTAATAGTTCCCTACAAATGTTATAGTACAACGCAACTAAGTCATTATGAACCACAGTACTGATGAGGGATCTCCGTTAAGGACCGTTGTCTTTTACGATTTGAAATACCCAGCGATTTATGATCTTCCCGAATCGTTACCGTCACATTCTACAGTATTTGGTATCTAGAGAAATAGAAGGCAAACGTGTTGATACAACTAAATGCTCCTAAAGTGAATTACAGGGCTGGTTGATGTTGATACAAATCGGCAATGAAGCAACTTTAATGCATTAAGCGATGTGAACCTCAAACATCTGCACGACACAACCACCTACATGGTTTGCTTTGAATGAGAAGAGTGTTAGAGGATGTGCGTAAAGGGATAAAGTTAAGCCTTAATGTGTATGCTGAGTTTCTTATCTGAGCCACTTCTTTGCTCCCCGACCATTACAGTTTCTAATAAACTCAGTCTCTCTTCTTTTTAAATGCACAAATTATTCTCACGTTAACCACACACACACACACACACACACACACACACACACACACACACTTATATAAGCTACTATTATTATTAACCTGTAATGAAACTGGCAAGACATACTGACATAATGAAGTTTCATTTGAACGTGAAGATACTGTAGAGTATAAGGGTAGTTTGCTGTACACAATGAGTTAGACTCCCTACTTTGATAAACTATATTTTGTAACACTTTTTTCATTGGTGTCCCTCGCCTTGATGTTCCTGTACTAACTACATTCAAGTATGGCTCAAAATTCACATGACTCTATCATAACGGTAACGTGAACTGCAAACTTCATTGTAGTGATAATATACATATACCTCAACCATTCGCTCAAACAAAAGACAATACTGTAGCTATCGACAACTTGTGCCATCGTATATCATGGCAATGCCTGTCCGTACTGGAAGATCATTGGAGCACGCACGTCGCGTATAACTGGATTAGCTCGACATATCGATCACGAAGCATTGTTGACAGATCCACGTGCTCCATCCTTATAAAGTGGAACTGACTCGGTTGTCGTCCACGAGTCGGTGGCCTTGTCGACCAAGGGAACACTTTGATACCAGAGCCACTTGCCTGACGCTGCCATAATGAAACTAGTATCTTCTCTTCAACCTGGACTTGTCCTTGCTCTTGGTCTATGCGTTGTACTGGCAGAAAAAGAAGAGGTAAGTCTGATTGCCTTTAAGGATTTCAGTTAAACAAGTTTTCTTCAATAGGCATTATGTATGTTGATTTTATGACACTATTTGGACGATGGAGTTATTAAGTAAGTGATGCATTATTATATCAACTGATGTTAACAGTATACAATAGACATCATAAACTTTACTGTGTCACGGAAGTCTATACCATGGCTAATTTCTGAGTGCGGAAATAAGAATATGTACAATTAAATGCGATGTATTTTGTTGCAATAAATACATGTATTAGAGATGTAATTTTCATTACTGTCATCTATCTGCTACCACCGACATAATGAGGTTGGTTGCAAGATGTTATTTGTCATTCCATCCGTCGTGACCAATTAGAGATGTAATGCCATTAAACCATGAAAACACCGTCGTCATGTCATTTCAACAAATAATTTTGACAGAATTGATTTTCTATAATTAGATTGTTTTTACTTTGTAACTTTTAGACCTGTGTTCATTTCACCTGATTTCATTACACCTCAACTAAGGTGACCAATTTCTCTCACGTGTGATAGGTTTGTTAAAACATAACTATTTTCAAAGCGGATAAAATACCCCGAAGAGAAAAAGATGCTTGAGAATCCCTATTAGAAGTTTCCGCTAAGGTTGTCACCACATTTGCGGAAGACGTTACAAGAGGAAATGACCTGACTATGATGATATGTGACATATGGTGTAAATGTGCCACCTGGTTCATAAATGCAACGGAAGCACTGACATAACGCGTCTAAGTAAGCTCCAATTTGATAAAGAAAAACAGTATTTTTCATATGTAGCAAACAATGACCAACACAATAATGATACAGGTAATTGTTCCACATTATAAACAAACTGAGTTTTGTCGTTGAGAAAGAACAAAGCAAAGTGTTTGGATAGGGCAGGATACGCTCACCTTTTCGCGAACTCCTGGTATAATCACTATCTGATAGTGATTGATAAACACATACTTCTGATATAATCGGAATCATACAACCGACTCTGTCTTTGGCAGATATTTCTTATGAATATTGAAAGGGCTTTGTCGCTTTTATTTAATTAAGTACATACACGTTTTGTAAAATATAGCTTTCAGTTGTTTGCCGTAACCGCACAAAATAAACTGGTGTTAAGCCTGTTGCACTCGCGTATTATTATAAGTCGTTTGCTTTGAGAAGTTGATAATCCCCTGTAAAAGCTGCAGCATTATATTCCAAAATAAACGCGTCAAGTGTGAATAGTGGATATTTTATCAAGCGTATCACGAGAGTGCCCGACAGTCAATAAGATGCGGCATGCAGTTTGATAATGGCTTAAACAATTCGAGTGCACTCGGGAGATCAAACATTATCATGTCAGCAGATCAAATGAAGCTTCATTTTCTATCCTTGAGTCCAACTCATGTATAGAAAAAGCCACACATTACACTTTCTCATTATCGATCACTATAGTTCAACAAATATAACAGAAAAACATATGCAGTAGATATCACGAAGATGTAATATTTTCATAACTAATTCATTTAAAAACTACAATTTTAAAGAAACGAGAACGTAAACAAGCATTCTTTTCTTCTTACAAGGATTTTTGAAATCCATCATTATGATATCTGTGGGATTGCCTACAGTGTATTTCTTGAAACTGGAAAGTGAGTGACTTGAACCATCACGTTGTATCTTTATGCAAGATATTCTTCACACAAATTATTACCGATGTTTCAGTGTTTGCATAGAAACATGCCGAATCCGCAAAATTATGAACGTTTCGATTTTGCTTGCCAACTTCAAAAGGGAATTAATGCACCCAAGTAATGGCTTCTGCTTGATGCATTTTCCCCTGCCTAATACAAGGCGCGTCCTCACCACATCATATTCTACTTTAACATAACGCATAATTATAATTGGTGAGTTTGAAGAGGAATTTCTATGTGTGTGTACTTTAATAAAATTCTGCAATTACCAGACAATATAAAAACGACTCGCTTGATTGTGTGACAGTCTTTATGCGGCTTGAAGAATCGTATAGATCCGAACTGCACAAAAAGAAGCCCCTGTGATTTTCTGATTCGATAATTACCGGGCGCAATTTCAATGGAATTTAGAAAATAGCAATTCTATCAACGCAACGAATTTTTCGGTGACATGAAGCAACAAAGTGTCATGACGAAAAGACTGCGGATTTTTATCAAAATATAATCAGTGTGACTCTTATCAACGTTTGATGTAAATATTCCCAGCTAAGAAAATTATGTTTTTCACGAAAAGTATAATTACGCGACTAAAACGTAGTCTTTGCCCGTCATTAAGAAGATGGAAGAACACGACGACATGACACTTTAAGGGATAATAACTTCTTTTTTGTTTGTAACGACGTTTGAGGGCTACTTCTGGCCCTTTCATTAGATGAGCACTGAGTAAGCGTATTGTTAATATATACTTGCTGATATGTTAACACAAGCTAGGATTAATGTAATATCATTAATGTCACAATATTACGACGAAACCAACGCCAATTTAGTACAGAGAGCGTTGAGTTGGGTGTGACGACAAAGAGCAGACAAGGGTAACACCATGTAAGAAATAGAGATTGTCCGTTGTGGATACTGATTGGTTATAGAACATTAGAGTGCGTTGTAGGTACTGATTGGTTATAGAACAGTAGAGTTCGTTGTGGGTACAGATTGGTTATAGAACAGTAGAGTGCGTTGGAGGTACTGATTGGTTATAGAACAGTAGAGTTCGTTGTGGGTACAGATTGGTTATAGAACAGTAGAGTTCGTTGGAGGTACTGATTGGTTATAGAACAGTAGAGTTCGTTGGAGGTACTGATTGGTTATAGAACAGTAGAGTGCGTTGTGGGTACTGATTGGTTATAGAACAGTAGAGTGCACACTTGTTAGTTAGATGTCTTGTTTGATTCTTTGCATGTCGGTGGTTTCTTGAAGTTTCCTCTTTGTCCCGTGGTTCATGATGGTAGGGATAATTTTGGCTTATTGCCAGGAAGTATTGTTGTTAGGATTGTTGATGATGTGTTCTTAAACAGCAGATTTCGTGATTTTTTATTTGACAAAATAAGTCCAGTGCCCTTTTATTCGGGTGGCTTTGAGGTGTGAACTTTCTCCAGTTGATGTGTCTCTACAGTTGCATGCGATCTCATCCAAACATCCACAAGGGTTTGCTAGGACTGGGCGGGACCTATACCATTGACATGAAGTTGTAAACAAGTCGTATTTACAATACTAAACAAGATCCTGTGTAATATCTAGTTTATGAAAGGAGTGAATAGGTCTGGTATCTGACAAGCGGAAGCGAGTCAGATACCAGAATATTCACGAGTTTCATAAACTTGGTGTTACACAGGAGCTTGTTGAACGGGACCCTGAACCATAAAGTTTACAAACACGTTACAATAACCTATGACGTAATTTGTTAAATTTCGTTGCAAAATACACCTGTGAAACAATGCCATATGACGTCAGACCAGCAGCAGAGTTGCTGGGGGTAATTGAGTGCGCATAAGCTTCTCTCAGTGAACTATTATTTCTACGAGCAATGCCACTGAATAAGCACAGCGATGTGGGGAGTTTTCAATTATTGTTAGTTCCTGCAGTACATGAGCACACGCTTTCATATAAAACAGTGTGTAATACCAGCTTATTATTATTTCTTGGCAGTGGTATCTTCAATGGAAGAGAAATGCATACAAATACCGCTTGGATAATATATAACAATCACAAATGAAAATACAGCCAAGGTAGCAGGATAGTACCAGTGGATTTGATGGAGGTGTGTGGAGTACGAGTAATAAGCTATACAAACTATTTAATGATCAGTTTCGTGTGATAGTTATATAGCCTTTTCTGTATCCAAGGAATTGCCACAAGTAATAAAACTGAGGTTGTGTCCCATGGTATAGCAGTAGGAGTTGGATCATATGGTAATATACTTTGTACATATGAAGAAATATTTTGCAGTGTCCTCGCGGATGGAAACACCGGAACAAGAAGGGACTTGAGAGGTGTTGCTATCGCACCTGGTCTGAGTTGAGAACTAAGTAGAAACTATAAACTAACGGGCAAAACGTCACCAAACAATTTTCTGGTCTAAAACAAAACAGACGTAAAATTTAGGAACAGTTGATGTTTTATTTAAAAAAAACAATTATTCAAAACGGTATTTGAAAACGACAAGATAAAAAAACATGTACTTAAAGTTCTGCAGACACGTTTATCAGGCTGGGTGCACTGTCCAGTATTCGATCACACTCGCAGAATCGACTTCGATCTCTTTCAAAGTCCCGTGCTACACACATGTCTCAGTATCGGATGGGACCCCCTCCAGCAACGATGCAGGCCCAAACATGACGTCGAACTGAGTAACACGAGTCTCCTGACATCAGGGATCCTACGCCTTTCTTCCTGGGGGCAATTGCCAAGGCATCCCTCGTCAAAGGCGGCTGTTGACGTTTCCGAATCCTGCGTCCAAGTTGGGCCCAAAGTAGCTCTTTGGGCGACAGGTACGGTGATCTGGCTGGCCACTGTAATACGGTCACGTTGTTGGCATGTAGAAAGTCGCTAGCGATTCGAGCTGTGTGAGGGGTGGCGTTGTCCTGCTGAAACAACGTACGTGGGTGTCGTTGCGGGAAAGGCAGTACCACAGGCCGCAAAACCTCATCAATATTACGACTGTCTTCTGGTTCCCGGAGGTCTTACCCCAGACCATGACACTCCATAAGGCTCCACTTCTTGGACTCAAAAACGTGCCGTCCGTTCACCACGTCGTCGGTAGATTCGAACCCGCCCATCAGAGGTGAAGAGCTGGCACCTACTCTCGTCGCTGTAGAGCACTCTTCGCCAATTTCTCTGCTGCAACTGCTGTACAGACCTGGCTCGTCTCAGTCTGTGACGTCGGTGTAGAGACGTTAACGTCATGCCCTTGAACGGTCCTTCTGCTGACCCGTAAAGCAACCGTAAATACCGATCTTCCTGTGGGGTCGTG